ATGCACGCATTTTTCTTTTTTCTTTTTATACGTGAATTGACTAAAATCTTCAATTTTTGAAGATGTGAACCATCGTATCGGCAATTGCTTGTCCACCATAGTGAATGCACTCAGGTGTGAGTACTCACCACCCTTCAGAAATCAATCGTAGAGATGATTTCTCGTTTTCAGAGAATACTCATTCCGGTTCTAATGGGTTTATTATTAGTCAAACTGGTACGTCCACTGAACGACAATTTTTATGATTGAAGAAGAAGAAACATTATTTAGCTAACTAGCTGATTAAATATTTCTCACACGAAATACAACACGTACCAAAGACATCTCTACGATTGATTTTTGAAGTCATCAGCTGTGCTTGATAGATCTTCACTCGTTTTGTTTTAAAACACAAGATTTTATTCTTATTAACTTTATTTCAAAGCCTTATCTTTACTTTATTTTGTGTCCTCATTATGTCGTTGATTCCGGTTTCATGGTCCGCCAATATCTAAAACCGTATCAAAATTGCAAATCCCGTTGTTGAATTAGACGGCGATAAAATCACGCGAATTATTTGGGCACGGAGTAAAGAAACGGTAAGCAGCTATTTCCTACATCACATTGGATATTCTTTGTATATTACTCGTTGGTTTAGTTAGAATTTTCTTATATTGATGTAAACTGTAAATATTATGATTTGGGCTTGAAAAATCGTGATGATACTGATGATCAAGCAATGATTGAATCGGCACATGCCATTCAAGGATATAATGTGAAAATTAAATGTGCATTGATCACGCCAGATGAAGAAAGAGTCAAAGTTAAGGAATGAAGAGCATTTTCTTGCAGAACAGGTAAGTAAATCATCTTTATATTTAAAGTTTTCATCGATAGCAGAGATGTCTTTAGTTCGCGTGACAAATATTTAATCAACTAGTTAGCTAAATAATGTTTCTTTCTTCTTCTTCATTCATAAATATTGTCGTTTAGTTAATTCAGTGCTGAGTTATTGAAAAAGGTGAAGAATATCAGAGTTAACTTTTTTATCAGTAGAAATGCCACTTTGTCTTCGTTCATAAAATAAGCGAGATGGCTCAACAGGAAGTCGTTGCCCTAGTGAAAGTATTTTACTCATAATTCGTCCGTAAGTACGCATATTAGCACTACTAACAATTTTTGAGTATTGTTACTCAGTGAATACTCAGAAAATGTTCATTCACCATTTTATTTTGCTAAACTGAAACTGGATAAAGAACGTAGAATGTAGTGAAGGAACATAGAATATTTATATTATTACTTCCTCACTGGTCTCTCTGTATATAGTCAAGGATGGACTCTCTATGACTAGACTTATAGTCCTACTCTGGCAGCCTGACATCACTCCTCTATATGAAAATATCAGATGAACAATACTCATGAGTAATTTATCAAAAATTATATGAGTACTCAATAATACCCAAGCATGAGTACTCAAAGTCGTACCCACAGTACTCGTTACTCACTCATGAGTACTCATGTGAGTACTCGCTGAGTAAAAAATGTGTGATTACTCATGAGTATTCGGGACATTTTTAGCAGAGTAAGACTTTGAGTACTCACACCTGAGTGCATTCACTATGGTGGACAAGCAATTGCCGATACGATGGTTCACATCTTCAAAAATTGAAGATTTTAGCCAATTCACGTATAAAAAGTAAGTAGAAATGAATACGTAGATAAAAAGAGTCAGACAGACAAGGGGATTGGATGAACAGCAGCACGAAATTAGTTTTTTGTTCTTCTTTTTTGAAGTTCTTCACGCATGAATTTGATTGATTAGTCTACAGCTTTGTTTTCACTGAATATAACAATAAAAGTGTTTCTTTTCTTTCTGCGTCAGCAGCTTTAAAACTCGCATTTAAAGCTGCGGTTAATGGTATTCTATTTATTTCAAAATTATTTCCCGTCACACAGAAAAACTATAAGTTATGAGCTGATCTATATATTTAAATATAAGTATAGATATACCGTAGTATATTACATATCTAGGTAAAGATATGAATATTCGTCTATTTATGTATATAGTTTATAAATTATACCCTAGGAGACTACCGGCGAACAAAAAATATTTAAAAAATGAGTTCATCCCGAAAGCGAATTGTGCACGACATCCAATGGTTCTTCATTCGAAGAAAAAAGTCGCTTGAATTTTAACAACATTTCGCGATTTTCTTAAAAGTCGACAACCAGTCGCGAGAAGTGGTTGATTTTGACTTTTTCTTCAAAAATTTGCTCTAATCGAAGACTAATCAGCTGTTTCTTAAACATTGAGATAGTTTATTTGTTCATTGATAAAGGTTAGCAAAAAAGGATTCATGTAGAATACACGTGTCCGATAGCCTATGTATCAAGTATTTTTGAGATTCCCAACTTAAGAAAGTAGAAGTCTAAGTGTCCGAGGAAATTCGCGTCCTATCGGAAACAGAAAATGGTGAAAAATTCGACGTTACGTGGGTTTGTGGATCAAGGCATGGTGGTGGAATCCCCTACTCGGCATTTAAAAATATTTTTTTCCATTATGGGGCCGCGTACTCTTTCAAAGATCGATGTGGTACACCATCTGTGGGTGGGATCCTGGTTGGGAGAACATTTTATTTTAATCTCGTTTATTGATGTGAGAATAGAAAATCCAAAAAGTACAAGCCACAAAAGTGGATCGAGGATTCATACACATGTGGTCACAGAACATTTTTTCTATACGTCTTAAGGTGTTGGCTATCGAATGTTAAAAACCGCAGATCTTTATCCCTTTTCTAACAAAAGTTGTTCGAAAATTAATCTAGAGGGTTGTATTTTGGAACGGATAGTAGTGGAAGACGTATGAAAATGACAAGTGGCAGGATTAGGCAATTCATTTTTATCCTAAATTACACACAAATCAAAAATAGAGTAATATAAACTAAACAGAAATCAAAGACTTCTACGTTCAACAAATACACACATTGAAAACGTATTCATAGTGGTAGATTGAAGTATTTGTATAGCATATGGCAACTTCATCTTTTTTAGTCGTCACGTGCACCATCGTGCTTCCAGTTCTCATATATCGGTCGATAGCCCCAGGTTTTTTTACTTCGAAATACTGAAAACTGCACGTTTCTATCATTTTTCCTCGAATAGTTATTCAAAAAAACATTCGAGACCATTATATCTTGAAATAGATAATACTAGCAGTATCGTGTTATTTCAGCATGTTCATCAACTAAACATCTTTTAATGTTCCGTCTATGTTTGATAGTCTAGATATTAGCAATATATACGCTTCTCTCTACCTGTCTCTATTTTTCCTGTTCCTAATGCGTACTAAATCGATTACACATATAAATTTACATCTTTGAAGAATATAATAACATCTTTCTACATTTTCTTTCTATTATTATTAAAAAGGTTTCTTATGTTTGAACACAATCGTGTATGCATTAGGTTTCATTCAAGTGATAATCAAACAACAATTCCTTTCTTCATTTAAAATAACACTTCTCTAATCAGTAATCATACTACCACAATAATAAAAGAAATCATTTTGGTGAAAACAAATTAAGCAAAATTGATTTTTTTATCACACTGCCTTCATAAATAACCAGCAGTTTTTTACTTCAACAAGAAGAAAACCGTGTATAACACTGTTACTTCACTTGTATTGATCGAATAATTCAGCACAAAAGTAAGAAATGCGATAATTTTTTAAACTTCGTGTTGTTGTTGATGAGTAATTTCGATTTAGACTCTTAAACGAGATTAACGCTTGGAAAGTCTTAATTTAAGACTCCATTCTATGATCAACTAGAAAATAATCTAAGCAGTCTATGTTCTATCGTTTAGATTGCCCGAATAAAAACTCATTTAATGAATAATCTGAGCTATGACTTTATGGATGTGATAGAGAGAAAGAGAGAGAATAAGAAAGTTATGTGATTCACTACAAAACTTGTTTTCCTTAAGTGGTCCTTAATACGATCATTCCAATATGAGAAGGGCATGTAGAATTGAATGATTATTGATCGATTGCATTTTGAGATAAATCATAAACATTAAAAGAAATAATAATTTTTTGAATTGTGTTCTACAACTTGAACGGGTTTAGTCTCAATTCGTCCCAAATTAGTCTCTCTCAATTTTTCTCAACTAATTTTTCTCATAATTTTTATTCTCGGTTTGTCCCAACTAAGTTTGTATATATATTTTAGTCATCTCAGATTTTCATAATTAATTAAATATACATAATTTTTTATGGCTGATAACAATGACAAAGTATAGTCTTATTTATTTACAACAAATATAACTAAAAAAATAATTAATTTTTTAGTAGATTTATTTTCAGAGTTCAACTATATTTAATAGCTAATTAAACATTAGGAAGCATAGCACTACTATGATTAATAAGTAATTGTTTTAGTTTACTATCAATGTCGGTGTAGATTTTTTTTCGTTTACGCGGCTGAATATCTGATTCTTTAGCTTGATGATGTTGATGTACATGTTTATCGTGCAATAATTCAAAAATATGATTGCTTTTTTTATTTTCTCGTCTTTTTTGTATATTGATAACAATTGTAGTTTAATACTGGATTATCTTTTCCAGTAACTGTGAAACGTAACATTTTGGTATGATATAGTAATTTCAATTATTCGACTGCCTTTTCTCTTCAATTACTGATTATCTTTTCCAAATTATAGTGGCATCTTTTTCTAAGCTAATAGAAGCCATGATATGAAAAAAAAAAAAAAATTTTAAAAATTAGCAATAATCATTGCAGTATATTCAGCCTACTAGGTACCAAGCATAGGAAGATGCTGTGTGCTTTTAATTTTCATCATAATAAGTTAATTAGGCCTTGATGTAAAAATTAAGCTGATAAATTTTGAAAATTACACTTTAAAAATGTGGAACGAACTGAGAATAAGAATTATGTGAAAAATTAGTTGGGACGAATTGAGAGGACACCCTTGAACATCATCGTATGAAAAGGATAACTGTACAAGTTTGATGAATACATCATAGGAAAACGAGAAGCTGTAAAAAGGATAAAGATTACGTACACAGCTTGGTCGATATGTTTTTGATCGTGTTGTCCTCATTGAAATCACTTTTTAGTAAAATAATTGGCTGATTTAAAAAAGCTGGTCTGGAATTGCAAAGACAAAAGCTGACTTAAACTTGAAAGTGGTCTCATTTTAGGAAGCGAGAAACTACCCATACAACATCGGAGATATAAGACGAGTTTTTAATTTTACAGCTAAGCTTTAGAAAGAGGTTCATTTCATGTATAAAAAGTATCTATCGATCTTCATCCTCATATTTTAAACAACCTTTATCAAAACCAATCCTATATTTATAATTGAAGCTCTCAGTGAAATCTGATAATCTTCTAAATTATCTTTCTTATGTGTTTGTTGAAGCTCATGGATTTTATTTTCCATTTTTTTAAATTAATTACAGATCGTTGACGTTCTGCTCTGCTCAACAACCCTGTAGAAAATTCAAAAAGGAATATCGTCAGAGAGTCCCATGAATCTACAATAGGGTTGATGGAAATTCTTTTTACTGGTTTCGTTCGTTAGCATTTGTATTTTATTTACCGCATCTATACCGAAGGCTTGATTCTATAATAATAACAGAGCCTGGTATTCGATACGAGATGCTTGTGCCCATTATGGGATAGGGATGTGGTCTGATAAATCTATGTAATGTGCATTAATCCACACTGTACCGATGATATAAAGTAGTAATCGGGGTGAAACAGCATTAAGGCGTTGACTAAACTCAATTTTTAAATGAGACTACTTGTAATTCAAGAACGAAAAATAATCGTGAAGCATCTAGATTAAAAGGTATATTTATTTAGTTTGCACTGGCTGCGCTAAAATATATGAAAATTTTATCTAGCTACAGTAGATAAATGTACCTTTTAATCTAGATAATCTAGCTGGAAGTGGACGCTGCAGCTATTACTGCAACTAAATTTTCTCGCTTACTTAGCTTTACTTAGAAATTTAAGCTTAGATAGTAGCTTAAATGGTAATATTAATACTAAAAAGTATTGGTATTGTTAATAATACAGATATTCAATAAATCAGTATAACTTTCCTTGAAAGAAATGTTAAAAGATTTTTTACAAGTACATATTAGGCACGTTTTGGGGCTTATTCTTCAGTGAAAAATGAATATCTTACATAGCAGAAAAGTTTTTCTTATAAAATTGTGCAAGCTCATGTTCACTCGTTACAGTGGTTCTCGAACAAGATAGTTTTTACTGGGACTTAAAAAAACGTTTGTGGTGTAGTGAAGATAAAATAGAGAAGTAATTTAGACCTATTCTAATGTCTTACACGGGAATTCCCCAAGTGTCCAATCGCTTTTTCCTTAAAACATACACGATTATGGGTAATCTTTGATGCAGGGTTGGACGAATCCGGGAGGGTGCCGAGTCCGAGTTCCTGACATTAAGGACTGAGTCCTGAGTCCACGTTGGGTCCGGTAATCTTTTAGATTCTTTTTGATGATTGTGATTTATTTCTCGTTTTTTCTGTGCCATTTAATGTATCAACCTTGTTGAAACAGAGAAAGTTACTAAGGTACACTTCTTTTACATTTTAACAATGTCAGTTGAGATAGGTTGGTTTTCGTAGAACGTGCTCTTTCGCGTCTAATCAAAAATTCTGATTGAGAAAAAATACTCTCAATGGGTACTGATGTGACCGGAACACATAAAAGTTTTCTAATTAATTTACTGAGACCTGGATATATATTTGATGTTTCGAAAATAAGATTACTTTCCAAAGATACCCGTTCCATAAGATTTCCATAAGGGCCTTTCGGAGGTGGGTCGCTGAATACGAGTGTCCGAAGACCCACTCTAAACTTCCAGGTGAACATACTTTGGCACTGTCAGATTGTAGAGCACGTTGAATTGTGTATGTAGGAAAATGTTTAGAGCCAACGAACAAGTTTTCGCAGAGACAGAAAAATTTTAGGGTTAAATTTGTTTACTTATACGTCAGCCATATATGGAAATACGACAGACAAAAATCTTGACAGACTAGAATCAGCTCAGTATAAGGCAGCTCGTACAGTATCAGGTGCAATGATGTACACTTCTAAGGAGAGAGTTCTTAGAGATTTAAATTGGAAACCCGTACGAGAAGTTTTTAAGCGACACAGACTAGTTCTATTTCAAAAAATAATAACTGGAAAAACACCTTCTTTTATGAAGACACTGTTGCCTTCACGCCCAGATCCACCTACCGCTTTTTCTTATTCACTTCGAAGTCATGAAAAAATGCTTCTTCCTTCTCCACGCTGTCACTTGAATATGTTATATGACTCGATGATTTATCGTACTGCTAGGGATTATAATGAGCTACCGTTAGAGATACGGATGACGTTTCGTATAAAAAAATTTATAACTCGCATATTATCACCACCGAAAATACCGAAGATACCTTTTATTTATAACAGAGATGCAGATATTAGCTTTTGCAGATGCAAGGCCGGTTTCTCACAGCTGCGGAAAGACTTGTATCTTCTTAATTTTGTCTGTGATCCCTTCTGCTCGTGTGACAACGTGACAGAAGAGAGCCTTTCTCAATATTTCTTGGAGTGTCCTTTGTTCGATACTGCAAGATTAGCTCTACGTTCTGTATTTCAATCGGATTTAACTTATCTTTCTTTTGATTTAAGGACTTTATTTCTGGAAATTTCTCTAACACCTCAAGAAATCAAGATTATTGTCAAAGCTGTTACCGACTATATCATTCAATCAGCTCGTTTTTTGCTGTGAATGACTGATAAAACATTTCTTTCTTACTGATTACTGCTGCAGTCTAGAGCACAACATATTCTCCCCCTCTCCCCCCTTCTAATATGATCACGGACTCAAAGACATTTGTCTATTACTGTACTTTCTCTTTTATTGTTATAATTACAAGTGCAACCTATGTATGTATTTGTCTTAGTTCTTCGTTAGATTGTTTAGTTGACTCTGCACCATAGACCTTGGTCTGCTCGCTAAGTCAAGTTTGTTGTATCTTTTCTTAATAAACAGGGTTATGAATAAGGTTAAAAAATAATTTTAGGGTTCAAAAACCTGAAATATTTTGGTTCCCGACTGGATTAGAAAGTAAAATTTTTCTATCTCTGCGAGAACTTGTTCATTGGCTCTGAACATTTTCCTACATACACAATTTAACGTACTCTACAATCCGGCAGTGCCAAAATATATTCAGCTGGAAGCGGATCGTCAGACACTCGAATTCCAGAGACAAAAGGTTCTCTCGTTAGTTTCTGGTAAAAATGGCCCAAAATTCAATGTTTTGATAGCCGTTTTCAGTAAGCTATTCAATATTCAACTTTGATCTGAAAACAGACGCAGTCACCACGAGAATCAACATGCTCAATAAACCTATGTTTGGAATTATTTCTGAGATTATAAAACACAGATGGAAGAAGCTTAATAATTCCCAGTAAATACTATCTTGTCCGAGAACCACAGTAGCTAGCGAGCTTGGACCTGCGTAGTTTTGAATATATACAGTCTTTGTATTATTGGTAGCAGTTACAGTATTGTGCCATCTGTAATTAAGAGATCGCTCGCTTCTCATAAATAATTCTGATTGATCTAGAGCGTTCATTTTTTTCCTCGTCACAGTGTGCAAACAGGAGTTTGATCATTAAAAGTCTGTAGGCTCCCTATAGATTCTTTGACACGAAGGCTGATAAACGGTCGATCTACATACATTATACTTTGCATATAGCGTAAGAGCTCTGCCAGTTGTAATCTTTCTATTAATTTTCTAGTTGTAAAACGTATTCTTTCTAAGAGTGAATTCAATGAAAGTTGTTCCATTAGAAAAACGTCTTTATAAAAAAAATGTTACATCTGTTCAAGCAAAATGTTGACTATTCCTATCCAATTATTTTATCCGTAGTTATAGCAATAAAAGCGTTTTGATAATCAATTTTTACATACTTCACTTTAAAATCGAAATAAATTTGTCACTTGTTCACGTCAATTAAGTTGATTACTTAGTCAGTTTATCAAATTCTTTTGCATAACCTAATGGGAATAATTGTATCCACAGGGAAGGACGAAAAAAAAGGTATTGTAATTGTTTATATTAACTGTGTCTGTATTCATTAATTCTAATGTAACAATGTATTTATAACCTACGCATAAACTGAAATACCACCATACTATTTACTTTTTCTAAATAAACATTGTTTAAAAATTGTCAAAACTCAAGCACATAATTTTCATCAAATAAAGAGTATTGCGGGAGAGAAGAGAATGTATAAAATTATAAAAAATCTTTTTAACTAAAAACATGTGTGAGATATTATTTGATAGACAAAATGCATTGTCTGTTGAAAACGCTTCCTTATCGCAGGAGAATATCCTTAAACTATGTAAAAATCTAAATATTCAAATAAATAATTGTGCAGTGAAATATGTCGGACCAACGAAAGATGTACGTTCACGTCTCATTTGTAGTATATTGTGAATTACTTGGTCCTCATTTGTTTAGGATAAGCCTTCTCGCCGTCACCGCAATCTTTCTACGACTGAAGACGAAATGCGTTATTTCATCTATTATCCACCAACAAAATCTATTCGACAGATTGACGTTATTGACACTGTTCGTGTTCAAGATATCATCAAACAAGTTAAGCATGAATTTCACTTAACGTCGCAAGGCTCTGGACAATCTGAAACATCGATAGTTCTCAACTATAATGGTAGTGATTTAAAACCAAAATGGACTGTAGGTGATTTAGGAATACCTTCAGGTGCAATTATTCGGTGTCTTTATCGCGAGAAAAAAGCAGCTGATCTTTATGTCTACTGCGCATTTAATCGACAAATAGTAAAACTTTTCGATTCAACAATCACATTGGAGACAACGATTGGCACGATTCGAAAGAAATTATCCGATACACTTGGCCTACCACTGAGTACATTTTGCTTGGAAAATCGAGATGGCCGTGTGCGATATTATGATCATATGAAATTGATTAATTACGATATTAAATTAAACGGACGGATCTGTCTTAAAGTTTGGAAAGGATTTGAAAGCTTTTTGAGAAATTGCTTGAAGGGATTGCAAGATTCATATGCGCAAGACGATTTGACTAGACAATATCAACTCCAAATTGCATTGCACATTGCAGCATTTTATGGCAAGTTTATTTAGACTTAGAACATGTCAAATTTCATAGCTTTTCTTCTTACTTTTAGGTCATATGGACTTAGCCATTAGTTCAATGCAAATGGGTGGTCGTAACGATCGTTCCGTCGGTGAACATCCCAGTCGTCAATGGAGTTCAGTGTTTACTGAAAAGTCTTTACCGGAAATTGAAAAGTGTCCCTTCCACATTGCCATCGAACAGGCTCAAATGAAAATTGTTGATTTATTCGTTCGTCATAATATTCTTTGCACACAAGTTCGACATCCGGTGAATGGCTATTTACCTTATCGGTTAGCTTTAAATCTGTCAAGCCAAGCTAATGTCAATCAGTTGAAAGACAAACAACAGCTTTATAGTGAAATCTTTTTTTATCTCTACGATAAACAGTTTAATCTAAAAATACCATTGAATGCAAACGGGGAACACATACAAGCACTACTTGGATCATCGACATCGGTCGGTGTAATAACACATTATTCTCAGCACCATGTACTGATCTCGTTGAAATTATATTGTAAAATAATAAAGTAAGCACATCCTTCTTATAAGCGTTTATGATATTTTCAGGATGTCTTAATGATTTTTTGTCAACTGTTACTTGCTCTAAAAATGTGAGTGTCGAATGAATAAATTTCTCTCTGTATTATAGGTGGTATGAATGTGCTCGTGAATCGGCATGGAAGAAACACGGTGGAAATTTTTATTCGAATCCACAAGCGAAACGCATTTATCCTAAAACTGGTCTGCTTGGATATAAAGTGTTAATTGATGGTTACAACAACACGTTCGACGTTGTTCACGAACAATTTTTACAACAACAATCAAGTGTAACTAAACAAATTGGTGATTCTGATTATGTCGAACGATATTTTGGCAAAGATGATTATGAAAAGCAAAAGTATTTGAGGATGAAAACATATATGAAACAATGTGGTCTAGATGATAGACATCGTAAGGGAAATGTGGCACCAACATTCACTGATCAAAGACGATTCATGATGCTTAGACGACAACTGCCATACATAGGTAAAATCGACCAAAATAAGGATACAAAAGCCTTTAACAGAACTACTACTATGCCGACCAGTATTCAACCATCTCTTCCGAGTCTGACATCATCAGCGGAATTTTTACGTCAGCAAAGTAACAACTGGCAAGTCACAAGCAGTCAACAGTTGATATTTTTACCCACAACATCAAATGAATCTGTATCACAAGAACTATCAGGTAGTGAAATCAAACACTTAGCAACAGAAAAGTCAATGGAAAAAGGGAACACGATCGCTACTGATAATAATGAGAGAACAAGTATAGTTAATGTAATAACAATAGCTCCGTCAACAACTACTCAGTTGACAACAACGACTATAACATCAACGGAATCAGCAAACGAAAAAAGAGGTGTGTAAGAACGAGTGGGAACATTTTTCACTGAAGATGATCTTTTTAGCTCAGATTCGTATTGTAAGTGATTGGCGCATAAACCTGTTATGGAGACATATGCTTAAAATACTTTTCATTTGAGTTGAAAAAAGAGTAAACATTGATAGATGATCCAACATACCACATCATTCGAGCAGTCTTCAAGTAATCTGTCTCTGCATGATACACTTTAAGTAGCCTAATAATCCGCATACAAATAATCGCCTCATAAAAAATCTGTCCGATGCTGTATTCAACTTCTTGTAAAATCTCGCTCTCTTGAATTTTTTCAATGAGATCTAAATGAAGTTCTCTATAGTTCTACAACTATCTTGTCGTTTAATACTCTCGTTTGCAGATAAATGTGAACATTGTCATGCTTAAAACATTAATTAAAACTTCGAATCTCCTTTCTTCTTGCGCATAGTTGGTCAAAGAAGAGCTTAATAGTTACAACTGTCATACACGAAAGGAAAAGGTCAAAGAAATTTCCGCTCAAGATCTTGAAGAAATCTACTGCCAAACCCTTGTTTAGAAAAAGTAGCAGGGTAAGATGAACTTTTTTTTAATTTACTATTAATCCTACGCTTAACAAGATAAAAATAAGAACTTATCTATTTTTAAAAATATTAGAGTTTCGTTCTCTAAGGTGAAGAATTAGAACTCTTCTTAGTCATTTCAATCTGAATTTATTTGAAGACTTTCAAAAGAATTTTAGTTTTTCAAATATATCTAATACGTTCAAGGTATTACAAACTTAAATTATCTTTTAAGACAAATTTTATTTGTAAGGTTTGTGTGAAGACATTTAATAAGTAAAGATGCTGCACCTAGGAATTTTCTAGGTACTTCAGACTTCGAATCAGACCGAAGATGTGCTTTCGAAATGCATTTGCCTGTATTTAAAAACCGCAGTAATTCGATTTTGACACCTAAGTATCTTTGAGACATTGATGATATTTATTTTCATTGCACAAATTCGTCAAAGAAAATTTGGGATATGAAAAATAACCTCTGGGTATGCGTTCACTCAATAATATCTCAAAGAACGTTGAGAACTACTCGACCGGTGCTGAAAAACTGGCTAAACTTCTAAGATGTTTCGATAACGGTGTTTCCGATTAAGTCAAAAATCTTAGTTGCGGTTTACGCTTGCCTCAACACGCATTTCTAAAACAGAATCACACTGTTTTGCAGAAATGGAGAAAAATGTCATTTTGTTGATATTGCAGCAAAAGAAAACCGTGCAACTTGAGCAGGCCGAACCGTTATTAAACATTGACAAAGCTTTTTTGCTTAAGAAAATAATGCACATGCCAAAGTTATTAATACCTTTTGTTGTTCTCTTTCTAAGAAAAAATGGTTAAATACATAATATTTTCATCGTTCTGTTATAAGAAACTGCTCAAATTTATTGCAATGTTTTGTTCTAGACACCATTCAAAGTGAGCCTCATAAAAAAACAGTTATGCACGATCATAAAGTACCATCACTACCATACATAGCATCCAGCTCACACAAGCTACAAGTAACTGCTCAAGGCAATAATAATACATCCAGTCCGTTAGCTCTTAAAAGTGACCATGCAACGAAAACAATGTCTGCTGCTAATGCTTACAGTTTGGCTGCATCTAGAGCTGCTTTAAAAGCTCAGCTGATATCCAAACAACGTCTGATTACGAATAGACAAAGGGAAACAAAATTACTTTTGATCACCAATGATCATGTGGCATCCAATATCACCACTCAAGTTAGTTTGCATTCCATGAAAACCCGCAGCGATTATCATGAGAATGATGACAATGAACATGATGCACTCTTAGACTCCAACAATCACGTTCCACTGCCAGATTATCCTGCTGGCATACGTCAACGTCCAATCAAATCTCGAGTAGATGTAGAAGTGCATCGTTCAACTGTTCAGCCATACGAACGTTATTCAAGTGCCAACACACGTGACACAGCCATTACGTGTTTGAAAGAAGCTGCGTACTTTAAACAAAAATCATGGCTAAAACAAGTTAACATAAGTAAAGAAATGGTGAGACATAAAGTAAAACAACGAATTCGTCGAGCCCATGGGATAATTTTCGATCACGAGGATGAGGATACTGCTGAGAACAGTGATCAACCATCAGAAGTTCCCACGATAAAAACAACGTGCGCAACAGTTGCATCGGATAATGCGATAAATTCCTTATTTGGGAATAAATCATTGCCTCTAGCCACATCGACACAGCTTACGGTTAAAATGACATGACACATCGTTCTTTTTAACGATGATTGAATGAATGTATTTTATAAGTGTTTCAGAAGTTGGTATTTCCGTGCAGAAAAACAGAAATAAGCAAACAATCAGTATCAAAAAGTATTGACTTACCAGCCATTTTGTTGGCACGTGGCAGAAACGTAACACACTTAAGCGCTCTGTCACAGTTTTTTAAAGCAGTGGTAAAAGAAAAAAAACTACTAACTAGTATTTAATAGTCTACAGACTAACATATACTACTATGTTTGACTTTAATTTTCTAATTCAAAACCACGGATGTAAAATGTACCCTGTTTCATTCATCACACAATGGAAAAGATACACATTGAGAACTCTACCACCTAAAATTTGTACCAATGGAGACCGAACAACACACACTTTTTGGGATACAGTGAACGTGTAGGTCATCTTACATACCTAACTACATTCTTTCTTTTTACAGTTCACAGTACATGTCGCCAAAATGGCGAAGAAATAGCTGATTAAGCGCAATTAATTAACCGACAAATCATACGCTTAATCGTGATTTTTAAGGAGAATTTTGTCCTGATTAATCTTTCAATGACTTTCAAAAACGATCGTCGATAAATTTCGGTGAAGCGAGATTATTGCTGAAATCGTGCATTTTCTAGAAAAATGGATGATTACTTGCGATTTCAGCAATAATCTCGCTTCACCGAAATTTATCGACGATCGTTTTTGAAAGTCATTGAAAGATTAATCAGGACAAAATTCTCCTTAAAAATCAGGATTAAGCGTATGATTCGTCAGTTAACTAATTGCGCTT